TGTTGTACAGAACATCGTATTTTTAGACAACGATAAGGTGCTGTACCCACTGTGAAAAAAGTAAAGTAAGAAGATTGCATTTAGGTATCATGTATAAGAAGACATTTCACGATGCAGTCTCTGTGTGTTTCATCCCTTAGCTGTAAACATAGACCGGACTATGCATGCGGGTAGGAGTGGAAATCGTCAGTACAGCAAATTTGTTTTTTAAGGTATTGAAAAGCGTTTTTGACTGCGGTGCGATCACATTTGTTTTTCATCAGAAGTCTCACGATACAAGAACGGAAACTGTGAAAGAGGAAATCGAAGCTGAAGAGGAAAAGGAGGATGATGAAGAGGAAGAAAGTTAAAGCCTCAAAACTTGTACTTTGCGATTCCTTGTCAAATTTGTAAAAAATTTTCACCGCGTCGATGTTACGTTTCCAGTGCTTATAAATTTGTATAAATTTTTGTTAGCAGCAATTTCGAAGAGGTTTCTGTTACCAAGAATACTAAGATCTTCTGGACAGCCGGTGTTGGGATCCCGTAGTGGTACTACTGAAAGGCCTATATGAATGGAAATTACATAGAAACCCATCATCAGTGGGAAACTTCCCCATTTTTGAATTGATGCTTAGATAAAACTGAGAGCAAATTAGTTCTATTGTAGGATATGAACTGGGCGAAAAGGGGGATATGCTGGACGCGTTGGGATGGGGTCAGCCTTTATTTGTGTGAGTTTTTCGAGGCAAAAAAAAAAACAAAGGTATTAGTGTTGTGCACAACCGCAAGATGCCGAAAGTAACATTGGAAATATGGAATTTTTGTGTAAATCCAATCGAACATATTTGTTTTAGTTTCATCTAAGGATCAGCTTCAGAAAGAGAGAAGCTGCTTTCGGAAGATGGGCTTTTGCAAGACACCATTCGCGTAAGCTCAGTTTTTATTTGCTTTTGCTTTTTTATGCTCTTATTTATAGATCCCAATTCTTTCGCTTTTTTTCATAATTTCAGTTTGTTTTAATTTATTTTTTTTTTTTACAGTGCTGTATTGTTATCTCCTCTTTACTGCTGTCTCCAATTCTTGCCTCGAGTCCTTGTCTTGTGCTCCCGTCTCCCCTCATTACCTGTCCTCAAATTCTCCTTCGCGGCGAAAACCGGCAGTGTATTTCCTCAGACTCTCCACTTACCCTTCCCCGCCCCCCGTCTCGAACGAAAGCAGGGACGCGTTGTTTTCCCCCTCCCCGCCAGCCATATTTGAACTCCCGCCACTTGCCGTGGTGTAGCCTGCGTATCCCCGCTGGAAAAAAATTTTTCGCAAGTCGTGTAGGACGCTGGCCGATCCGGCCGAGTTTTGGTAACTGCTAAACCTCGGCTCCCTGGCTTTAACTAAATCGTTCATGCATGCATAAGTAAAGGGGTTTCTACGTGCTTGGGTCGGCTACAGGTTCACCGCTGATTCATATTCGCAGCACTGCTTTAGCTATAACCATTCCATTCACTTCGGTTTTGCGGACTTTCCACATCCACAGCACACACCATACACTCGACGAGTTAGCGGATTAGACCAGCGCATCGACGGTCTGCTGAAACTTTGGGAACTTAATCTAAGTGCTTGCAGCATGGGCCTCCATCTCCATAATGGGTGCTCTTGCCCGCGTGGTACCCTCGTACGGACCGCCCATAGTTTTTTCGAGTAAGTCCCTAACTCGGGAGCCTGAAGAGCTAAAAAAAAACTGAAATTTTAAGAGGCATTGATGAGTCCCGGGGGAACCTGTTATTCCCACGATCAACCTGGTTGCTACAATTTGCTTATCACTGATTCGGCGTATTTCTCGTTGCTTGTGGTCGCGCTGTTAAGTTTTTTACATGTACTGGAAAGATAATTTGCATGAGACTTGATCTTATGGCGATTTTGAAGTGTTGCCAATTCGTGGTTTTATTATACGTATGTATGGGTATGACGTCAGGTTGACCTCGAATTGGTGGTAGGTGCTTGGGGAAGGGAAGGAAGGGGTAGGACGGTTGGGATTTTCAGAATTTTTATAAGTTCACCTGCGTTTTGCGTTTTTCAACCGACGTAACATTGGAGGGGACGAGGGGGGAGGGGAATGCTCTAGCGCGCGTAGTACTTCGGAACTCTCAGGGTTTCTCGAATCAGAAGTCCAACTTACTCTGATTCTGAGAGGAGATAGTACTCGGAAATAGTTCGAGTGGTAACACTTGCCAGCAGTAGTAGCTATCTATTGGTAAGGCTGCCAGTATGGATCCCTCTTTTGAGGGTTATCAAGAAGCAGACGGACGCGGGTTTGACTCCCCGTCACGATATACCAGTACCAATTTACCATCGAAACGAATGAACGAACGGATCGTAGAGGGATTGGTTGTCTCACTGGCGGAGCGGAACCCTTGCGCGTTTGAGGAGTTAGGAGTTATTGGTTGTTCTAATTTTGGCAATCTAAAACGTGTGGTCAGGCGTGAATACTG